GAAAGAATAGCATCCGTCCACGAGCTTGTTCGCTCTCCCCTGAAACCTGCAAGGAAGGGGGGAGGAAGTGAGGGGAGGAGGGGCAGCGGCAGTGGCAGGAGCAAGAGCAGGGGCAGGAGGAGGAGGAGGAGGAGGAGGAGACTGACCCTCCCTCCACTTGCATCTGCCGGGAGATCACCCATCTCAGCATCCTCTTCCTGCCGGTGGACTGGAGTCAGCAGCAGCAGCAGCAGCAGCAGCATGCGGAGGAGCTCGACCGGTCAACGAGCTGCTGTTTCCCCGCCAACAGGATCGCCGCGTACCCGCAGAATGAATATCCTCCGTGGGACTCGTTGTTCGGCTCCCCCCCTATCCCTCCTGCAATGAAATGTCTTACCATTCTCCTTCCTCGCCTCTGACCTCCCTGCCCGCTCCTCTCCCTCTTGTCCTCCTCTCTCCCTTGCAGCTTCTGCCTGCTCTGTATTCCTTCTCTTCTCTTCATTCACCAGCGTGCTTCTTTCCTGCCCCTCACCCTCCTCAGCCTCCCTCCCTCCCTCCCTCCTCCTTCCCTCCTCCGCCTCCCTCCCTCCCTCCTCCCCTCCTCCGCCTCCCTCCCTCCCTCCTCTACCTTCGTACGTCTGACAGGACGCTATGTACTCCGCCACACCTTCCTGCTCCTCGTCAGCCACCAGCACATCCGAGCTCAGCTCGCCTTCAGCTCAGGCGTCAAGATCCCCGTGATGTAGGCGGCTGAAAGGGCACAGTAGCATCCTCTAGCGTCCACCTACCCAGAGGATGAGGAGAGAGCAGGAGGGAGAGAGTCGGCGCGTCTCTACCTCTCCTCCCTCGTGCAGCGTGAAGCCTCCCGACGGGTGCTTCCTCCTCATCAAGAACTCCAGCAGCTTCTTCCTGTTGATGACGCTGAACGCCAGTGGTGACCCGATAATGGTCAGAGCGTTGACGGCGGCGTAGGTCGGAGCAAGATGAGGATCCTATCGGCCCCGCGTCACCCTCCTTGCTGCGAGCATGCGTTCTCACCTGTCCTGGTCCTCCTGCAAAGCCTCCGCCGACATCCTGAGGGCGCGATGAAAGGAGTTTCAGACAAGGGAAGGAAGCAGGAGGCAGTCGTAGAGAAAGATCAACGGAGGTAGTGCAAGTAGGGGGAGAGCAGGTTCAACAGGAGGAGGAGAGGAGAGCAAGAGAAGTTTAGGGGAAGAGGGGCAAGAGGAGCAGGAGCAGGAGCAGGAGCCTAAGGTATGCGGCAGCGGGAGGGGACCTGGCATTTGTCCAAAAAGAGTGCGACTTTATCCAGCAGCTCAGGCTCGGGAAGAGCCTCGAGGATGGAGAGAGAGTTGAGGATCCAGTAGCACAGCCAGGGACGAGATGCGTCAAGCACCGAGAAGCCATTGGGGAGACTGACAGGCATGTCAACCCTCCCCTCCTCCCTCCTCCTCCTCTCCTAGCGCCAATCACCACCACCTCCTCCTTCATTCCTCCACCTTCCTTCCTCCTCTTCCTCCTTCCTCCTTGTTCTACTTCTTCTACCTCTCGAGTCCTGCCCGGAGGAACTTGATGTGCGCAGCTCGGTTGAGAAGGAGCGACGAGACGTCCATCTCCTTCATCTGCATGCAGTTGATGGGGTTGACACCCATGGCTGACCCCAGGCTCTCCTTCACCAGCTCCTCCGTCTCCTTCTGGATGCTGCATGATAGTCATTGAGACGCGGTTCACCATGCCCAGTGTGTCAGGGCAGCCATCAGCGGAGCATGATAGGAGCTACTTGCCACGACATGACGCTACATGATTCTGCTTTCCTCGACACCCTCCCAACACGCCCCCCCCCACCCCTCCCCCCACCGCATTTTCTCCAACATCACCACCTCGTTTTTGTCCTACTTTCCTCTCTCGTACCATTTCTAAAGATAATCTTCAACACCACGACCCCTGAAAGTTCTCTCTTTCTACCTCCTTCCTTGCAGCCTTCCTTTCCGCCCTGCATATGCCGTATCCCAAAATCTCGCTTCCTCCTAGCTTTCATCCCCCCATTCATGGTCTATCTTCATCGCATCCTCTCTCCTCCTCCTCCTCCCCCTCTCCTCCCTCCTGCTCACCGTATCGAGGCTCCTTCATGCTCTTCCATTTTCGCACCCATTCCGTTATAAAATAACGGAGAGTCCGCCTCAGGTTATCCTCCAGGAACCCGGTGCTTCCAAGTTGAGTAAAAGTCGCACAGCGAGTGACCCGGTCATCATGGCCCATGAGTCGGCCCGATCCGGCCCCGGACAAGGACTCGAGCACTACACCAAGTGACGGCCCCCGGCGTGACTGACCGGGCACTGCCCACCAGCCGCCAGCCGACTCGGTCACTGCCCACCAGCCGCCAGCCGACTCGGTCACCCGGCTGAGCCGCTGAGGGCCCGGACGGTGACTTGAAGTCTTGGAAATTCATTTCCATTAAAAGTTGTATAGAAACAAGAGGAAAAACACTGAAAATGGAATGTGACGCCCCTTCGGCGATCGCAGCCCGGCGGCCTAGTAGCACTCCGAGTGGAAAATGGTGCCGTAGTGCGGTCAGAAGATAGACGTCTCAGTTCCGCGCCATCCTCATTCTTCACCCATTCGCGTAAACTTGTGACAACATGAAATGCTGGGGAGAAGTCAAACGAGCCATCAACACCTGCCTTCACCTTGAACTCATCCCAGTCGATGACCCCATCTTTGTTTCGATCGGCAGAGCTCACCATCGCGTCAAGCTACGGGCGAGTCAGCTCATCGCACCCGAGCACACCCTAGTTGCATGCAGACCTCGGAATCGCTCAAGTCCGTTCCCAGTCGGTGCAGGATCTCTCGAAGCTCTCTACCGTTGATGGATCCGGTGCGTTGCAAGTCGAACGCCTGTGCAGCAGATCGTCAGTGCTGCCATGACGTCGTGCAACCTCGTACATGGAAGATGGAACGGAGCTCGTTCTCCATCGATTTTGAGTATCCATGCTCATTCTGAGAGAAAGTAAGGCATGAAGATACGCGGCCTCTTGCATCCATACATAATGCCCAGGCCCCATCATCATGCAATACTCGTCGAAAGAGATGGTCCCTACGACACAAGTGTGAATCATCGTGATGATTGAAACCTCCGCACTCACCATTTCGAAGCACGTCAAAATGATCCATCATATCTGAAGCCAAGTTACAAAATCCTTCCTTGAGGACTGCCTAAAAGGATACAAACCTTTGATTTGCTTCTCCGACCTATCAATCCCCAACGCTCGCTGCATGACAGCAATCACAACAAAGTCGAACGGGGAGAGGAATAGATCTCACCAGACTCTCGGTCAGGTTTGTCAGATCGATGAAACCGGTGTGATCACGGTCCAACATATCAAAGGATTCCTTCAGAACCTACACATGCAAAGTCATAAACCCCAAGAAATCAACAGGCTCGCGTGCCTCCAGCCGGATCGGATCGGATTTGACCGATTCTAGAATAGATTTCTGCACGACAAGTCATCCCAGGAAAGAGCCTCGGGCTTGCCGCTCACCCGTTCCCCTTCATCAGGAAACGAAGCCAAGGGACGCGACATGCGGAGGAGAGCAGCAAAGGTGTTCACAGCTCCCTTCAATCGTCGAGACGCAACCTGATCGGAAGTTACACTTGGATGAAATGCTTTAGCAGGGTGAGAACCTGCAATTCTTGCAATCGTTCCTGCACATTTCCAGCATCTCCACCGAGCTGTTCAGTTGGCAGCTCGTCTTCTTTGTATGCTTTCATCCAGGAATGTTGAAAAACCTACATCAAGTAAACACACGGATGCTGGAAAGAAACCAGCATACCTGTGCAGGAGTGAATCGTTTCTTGGGATCTACGTGCATCATATTTCTGATCAAGTCTTTTGCTTGCGCTGTAGAGAATGGCTCAGAATTCAGAAACGACAGCAATGAGAATCAATACCAGAGACTCCACTCCAAAACGCATCCGGAAATGAATAGCGGGCCTTTGTGATATGGCTGTTCAGACAGAGTCATTTCACAATACATCAGGTCTGATAGGTAGCAACCTGAAAAGGACCGCTGGCGGAGATGTTTGGTCAAACGGCGGCATGCCGCTTAACAAAATATACAAAATCACACCTTGAGAAAAATCGTGAACACGTTCCAGTGTGGGTTTGCAAACGCACCAGTGCTCCAAATATCGCACTCCATGCCATATCCCTTTCGCATGATAACTTCTGGTGCTGTACAAGATGTCAATTCAAGCAATCACACACAATCAATCGAAGTCACCCAAGTAACTTGGAGTTCCGCACAATGTTGTCATCGTCTTAACTTTGTCATGCTCGTGAATATCAATGATTTTCCCCAGGCCAAAATCTGCCAACTTGATAGGAGAGTCCTCTCTCATGTTCGCATAGAGAACATTTTCAGGCTTAATGTCCCTGTGCACGATCCCGATGCTATGGAGGTAGTCGACAGCCTTGACGATTTGAATGAAGACATGTGCGGCATCCTTTTCAGAGTATTTCTCCTTCGCTATTATGCGATCAAACAGTTCCCCACCGGTGACCAGCTCCATAACAATGTACAGCTTGCTGTTTGAATCGAACACTGCCATACGGCCCCAAGTCAGTCAATGAAACACCTCCCTTGGGACCCTCATCAGCAAAGTTGGATTCTCACTTTCTAGAAACTGAATGCAATGGGGGTGTTTCACTTTCTTCATAATCTCAATCTCTTCTTGGAGCTGTTGGATCATCGTCATATACCGCAACAGAGCATCCGATATCGAATACCCTCTTGAGATCCTCATCTTTCTTGCATTTGTCCTTGGAGATCACTTTGATAGCCACCTCCTGCACAAACATGACTTGTCAACATGTTGAGGAAACAAGAAAATATTGAGCCTCACATTGCCTGATGCCTTATGTCTAGCTTTGTAAACCTTTGCAAACTTCCCTTGTCCAATAGCTACAAAATCGTACCCATCAATCAACCGGATCCATAAACCAACGGAAAGACTTACTCTTGCTCTCAATGTCATACTCACGCTTAACTGCACTGCTCAAGAAGCTGAAGATCGGGAGCATCGTGATTGGCCTCAGAGGCCGAAAGACCGAGTGTTTCTTTTCTGTATCAATACTTGGTGTTGCCTGCTGCGCTGAATCCAGAAGGGTCCCAGCTGCCAAAAAAGAAAAAGAAAAAATATCATGATGTACGTTCAAGCAAGACTCCGTGATTTTGCGAGAAAATTTTTCATGAACACACTCTTTGTTCCTTATTTTGATCCACTTCTCTATTCAAAACCATGACACGCCTACCGATTCGCAAAATACGTAATCAAACATCAAGAAAACAACCGACTCTGAACCAAAACCATGTCAATGACATTGACCTCTCTGAATCACCTAGAAGATGTTGGCACTGATTCGAAATACACTTAATCCTGCTTTTCTGAGCAAATCAAAGGTATCCCCTCCTTGCAAATGCACTCCCTCTACGCCCGATCACAAACGAGCACGATCAAGGTGGCCCATCACCAGCAGAATCTCAGCAAACAAGCAGCTTCGGCCCTTCAATCATCCTTCCATGTTCCATAATAAACAGCTTCTCCATCAGCCCTACGGGCTTCCTACCCCTCCCGACTACCATTTCTTCGCTATTCCACCCTATCCCCTGTCGCGACCATCTTTGGTTGGAGGGCAATCAGGGGAGGAGGGGAACACTCTCTACAAAGAGGGGTAGGGTAATTGGCCAATCGTACCCCTACCCCCCAGTTCCACCTCTAGCCGCAGCCATTTTGATACCACCCCCTTCCCCCTTGCAAAAGAGGTTGCTGTGGATAGGGTGTGGGTGGGTTGTTGGGTCTGAAAAATTTACTAGTGGTCAAATCTGAGGACCTCCCCTTGACCAAAAGGGGGTGGGGTCATGAGAGGGGGGTGGTATCTTTAAAGATAGGGGGTATGTACCCACGGGGGTAGGGGAGAGCGACCGGGAAGTCTCCGAGGCAAGGGTGCTGTCTTTAAATGGGGGATGCGCCAGGGGTAATTTTATGAGACGGGGGGTGGTAAAGTATAAATAGATCCCGCTCTTAATGAGGGTGGGTAAAAGACCTCGGGGGTAGGGGTGCATGTGCCAAGTAGCTCCACCCCCAACCCAAGTCAGCCCCAGACTTGGTGAGGTTCTGAAAAGGAGAGTTTTGAGGGGTATTCTTATCCAAGGGGGTGGGGGATGAATTGGAGGGGGTAGGGGTTCTCCAGTCATCAAGACCAGCTGTCAAGGAGGTATGAAATTAAGACCACCCCTCTTTCCATAGCAGCTGCACCCCTCAACTTTCGAACACTGAATTATGCGACTACCCCTTATTCAAAAGAGGATTGACCCCAAGCTTGCCTTGAGGTACCCTACCCCATCATGAGCTACGGCTATTCGATCAAGTACAAAAATCCATTGCTGGAGCCAGCAAAATCGTAGCTTTTCAAGGAGTCGCAGGGGTCCCTCAAGGGAAATTGTAGGGTGGGGGGTGAAAAAGGAATTGTGGGTGGGGTAGTCTTAAAAATCAACAAGATTCTCCCCAATAGTGGGGATTGGGTGTAGGGGACTGCAGTGGGTGAGGAGATCTTGGGGGTAGTCCAAACTGGAACAGGTCAAGTGAAATTAGGGTGGGGTCAAAGTTTAAATATTTGCAGAGACGTAGTGAAAGATGATGAAGGTCGATGGATCATGAGAAAAGTATATGATGACATACGATGTTTCTCAGAGGTAGACCCAGCATCACAGCTCGGTCAAGTGGTGTGAGCCATGTCTGGGGTAACCGGTGTGAAGTTCCTCCCTCAGTGGGGTAGGGTATTTTCAAGTGGTAGATTGTAGGGTGGGGTGGAACAGGTTTTTGCAAGGGGAACAAAGATGCTGTGCTTTCGTTGCATTCGTTGGCCATAATTTGGTATTCATATTGAAATATCCATTAAAGTATTTGAAAATTGGGAGAAATAAAAAGTGGAAAGAGGATACGTCAAAAGTTGTTGGCCGAGTCGGCGTACTGTGGGCCGGTAGCACTCTGCAATCCGGCTCGTCGACGTTCGGTACGGTCACCGTCACGGTCGGCCCGGGCCGGGCGGCGGCCCGGGCCGCGGATCCGAGTCATCCGATCCCGGAGTACGGTCCGGGCCGATGGCGCCGCGGATCAAAACTCGGAAGACAGGACCCCATGCTCATATCTTTACTCAAAGTTAAGTGAAAAATCAGTACGACGACTATCCTGATTGACTTAACTTTGCCGGAGTAAAGAACTGAGTCCGAGGAGGCTAGGAACTTCCAAAGTTACTACTCCGTACGGCAGTCACGCGGTCAACGGTCCCTGCCAACCGGCTTCTGACGGAATACAAGTTTGTTAGACTTGTACTAGTCCAAAGTCACGCAGCCTCGGATATCACATCATCGACCTTGGTTGTAACAAGACAGTTTTTGCTCACTGAGACCGAGTTTAATGCACACAAAACCAGAATTGAGGAGCACATGAGAGATAGACTGTATGTAGGATGTGAAACCCACACACGCTACATTGCCGCCTCACAGGAGAGTTTTGTTAACTCGGCGCTATCTGACTGGCACGGCTGGCATACGTTCCATCAGCTTCACTGAGCCTCCATAAGTTGACGAGAACTGCAGTGACGGTGAGCCTGGCACTGACGGTAGCCCGGCCCGGGCGTCGGGGCCACCCGGACTTCGGAAGCAGGGCATAATCTTCAAGCCCGCCTCAAGTGAAATCCTATCAGATGCAGAAGGCAGCAATACTTTCTTGAAACCTACTGGCTTCGATTCCGGCAATGCGATGCGACTGGTGATGAGCAGATCGGGATGTACAAGCGGTTGGTACCTGCGCATGAGAGGGAGAAGGGAAGATGGGGAGGACGATGGTGGAAAGAGGAAGGGAGTGATGGAGCAGGGATGGGGGGGGCGGGGAGGGGATGGAGCTATGCTGAGGAGAAGTTGACAAGAAGTTGAGTGAAACGAGGTACCCAAAAGTGATGTGAACCTTGGAAAGGATGGGGTGAGAAGGAGAGTAGATGGAACAGACCAGAGCGATAGCCGGGTTGAAGCAAGCATTGTCCTCTTGAGTGGAGGGAGAGGAGGATATCCTTCATGCAGAGAGCAATACTCCTTGCTCTTCATTTCTTCATCTTGAATGCCATGGTGAATGGAGGAGACGCTGCTCAAGGACGCGAGCACTGGGTTCAAGCGCTGTGCTGCAGCAGTAGGATGCAAGCATGGGTGCGAGAGAGCAGCAAGCTCGCCATCCGCGGAGGAGGCAGCGAGGATGAGGATGTTGAGAAAGTGAAATCAAGGAGGACAAGGGCCTTTCCCGCAACAGGAGATCGGCAACAATCCATGCCGAAGTTTGATGCGAGAGAGGCCGGGGAGACGATGCAATCAGATGAAGATGACCTAGACATTGATGAGGTTGACAAGTATGTGAAACAGGTTTGACCTTTCAGGGATGGATGTAGACAAAGTTGATGACATTCTTGTGCTTGATGTCAGTTTGATCGAATGCAAGCCGAGCAAGAAGGCAGAATTCAACGATTGAGCGCACCAGTCCAGAGAAGGCAAGTCATTACTTCTCCTAAGATGTCCTGCTGTTCTTACTTGGTGACAGGCAAGCATTGAAGCGAGCCTACCAGGACCAGCAGAAAGACAAGGGGCAGCATCGATGCTTGTTGCCGCACGAGCTTCTCAACGCAAGGTCCGCCCGACGGAGCTTTGACTTTCCTGTCCGACTCTGCAACAGGTCAGGCGGTGTTGAGCGGAGCAGGAGCTCGAGGCCTGTGCTGCTAAGATTCGATGTGAGAGTGAAGCGGGCTGGAGAGATAATGAAGTGATGGCTGGTTGCAGCATCCGTCTGCGGAGGCGTTCTGTGAGTTCTGTCGGGATGTACTTGGGATGAGGGTGAGCAAGCATGAGCCACGCGATCCAGCAAGTCCGTTTGCAAAGAAAGCAGCGAGCAGTCTGGACCACCTGGCAAGAGGCAATCTTTGGTCAATAAGTATTACTGGAGACCCTTTGCATTGCATCTTTCAAGTCTACCAGAAGGAAGAGATCCGCAAGGAAGATGTGAGTTTCTTGCATGCACAGGAGGCTGTTGACAACCGCTGACGCAAGTGAAGCTTCAGAGTCCCGTCCTCTGCTTTCGGTCTGGAAGTCTGTTCCGGCGATGCCGCAGCGTGTTTGAGAACGCTCGCCCTAGTCGTGGGGCTGATTGGTCGATAAGGCAGTTCAAAGATCACTGTGCCTTTGTGACTGCCCCCGGTATGGTGTGATTGTATCAAATCCATCGCTGATGATTTCTCTGTGTTCTCCGCATGCCCTTGGCTCCTCTCGTCCTTTCCGCTGCCTCCGCCCATTGTCGACTCGACCAGGCGACGTCGAGATGATCGTGCAGGACGAAGGAAGGGACCGTCTCTCAAGAAACGACGACCCGCTCCTTGGTGGCTTCAGCATGGAGCAGCAAGCGTTCATCTGAACGTTGCTCGTGTTCCAGGCGTCGTCATCTTCTCTTGCGATCTGCCAAGCGCTGGAAGGTGGTGGACAACGATCGGAGGCTTGGGGAGGGCAGCAGTCCCAGCATGGCTCCCAGCAGGTGGCTGACTGAGGGCATGGTGGATGCGAGCGATGACGAGTTGACTGAGATGATACCTCCAGGCCTGCTGAGGGTGAGGGTGATGGAGGCGTTTGTGAATCCCTCCGGCTCCTTCAACGTTATCGTGGGGCAAGTCAGCAGGAGGAGGGGAACCGCCGTCACCCTTGCGCTCAGTTGTCCGGGCATGCGCTTCGACTACGTCAGAGGTGAGCTGTCGGTGAGTCGACTCGGGGTGACGGAGGAGGTTGGCAGGAGGGCTCCACATGCTGCACGCGAACTTGACCATCCCCTGCCTTGACCTCAGCTACTCCCTCCCACAGGATGTAGAGCTGAGCAACGGGACGAGCGCTCGGCCCGTCAGCCTCTTGGGATGCTCCGAGCCCTGTGGGGTCGAGGTAGTTCTTGTGGAGGAGGAGGGTCTGAAGGACTCGCTCGCATTCTTCCCTTCCTCGGCATGCTTCATCCTCAACGCAGCAAGGAGCCTCCCACAGCTGCAGCCGACCGGGAATGCTTCTCGGGAATACGAAGAGTCCTCCTCAGACGGCAACTTCCCCTGGATGGACCTTAGCTCCTCCAGCAGCGAGGAAAGGTACAGGTCGCTCCCACCCAACATGAGCTACCGGTACTACAACCTGGAGCTGGACATGGTTGTCGGGATGAAGGGCAAGCGCACTTCGGATTTTGCCGACGTCTACGATCCCGACCGGGAGCTCTCGAAGCACGTCATCCAGTACTTTGACCTGTGCGCTGCCAGGGGAGCAAAGATCGTCCGCGCGTACATGCGGAAGGGACTATATCCTCCTCACCTGCGGTGGAGACCGTCGATGATCGGCACGCCGATGGAGAAGTACAAGAAGGAAGAGCTGCCGAAGCTTCCTCCCGCCGAGCTCAGGACTAGACGCTTCCGCTATTCATATGGAGGAGGAGGAGGAGGAGGAGGAGGAGGAGGAGGAGGAGGAGGAGGAGGAGGAGACATGGATTTCAACCCCGGATGGCTCCGAGGGCAACAGAGCCTGCAGAGGAGGTCTCAGACGCCGAGCAGTCTGGCGGAGTACGCGATGAAGAGGAGGGAGGTGATGGAGTTCCTGCGGGATGAAGGCTTGATCGACAGCCTTGACCCTCCGCTGGAGCAGCTGGAGCAGCTGCTGGAGCCGGACGAGGTGGGGAAGCAGCAGATGCGTCCAGAGTCCTTCCTGCGTCTCAACGAGAAGCTGCGAGCGAAGTCGAGCTGGTGTGGAACGGGTTTCTTCGGAATCTCCCACTGCCGCCGGGTCCGTCGGGCAGGGCTGGAGAGGTTAAGGAGGAGCAGGGGGAGGCTGCGAGAACTGCTGGGCAAGTGCGAGGATGTAGTCCCGACGAGCGAGCAGGAGGGCAGGAAGGCTCGGTTTCTCGTGCCCAGCGTTGCTATGGAGGAGGCAGTCGCGCTTGCCAGGACAAAGGCCTCCAATGGCCCTGGGGCAGAGAGGGAGGAGGAGGAGGAGGAGGAGGGGAAGGAGGAGGGGAAGGGAGCGCTGGTGGTGGTCAAGGAGGATATCCAGCTCAGGAAGGATCGACCGCAGTCTATGAGTGGACCCCTTCCTGTGAGGTTGGAGGGGAGGGTGAACGAGAGGGTTCTGTACGCGTGGAGGAGAGGGTTCGGGCCAGGGGCGAGGGAGCTGGAGCAGCAGAGAGCTTTTGCGTTCGACTACGAGTGGCCCTCGAGCCACGAGGAGGAGCTTCCGGACGGCAGGAGGAAGGTGAGGAGGAGGACGAGGAGGCTGCGGCCGAAGAAGGACTCGACTCCTCAGAACGGGATCGATCGAGGGCTGGTGAGGGTGAGAGGGGAGTGGGAGGGAGGAGGAGGGGAGGCGGTGGGCAGCCGTTGGATCCGGTATGAGTCCATCCCAGAGGACTACCAGACGGACTACGAGGGGACGAACTGGAGGAAGAGGATGATGGTGATAAGGGGAAGCTGGAGCTTCGTGGGCTGCGAGCTGCTGTGCTGCCAGGGTCGAGTGGTGGAGATGCTGGGAGGGTCGACGTTGGTGGCCCGCCGATGTAACATAGGGGGACCATCGAGAGATGACAGGTGAAGAACCCTCCTTCCCCCCCTTCCCCTTCCCCGTCCCCTTCCCCGTCCGTTTCCTTTCCCTTTTCCCCCTCCCTCTCTTCCTCCTCTACCCTCCTCTTCCTCAAGCGTTCCCGCCACACCTCCTCTTCTCTGCTCCTCCCACCTTTGCTCTCCTTCCCCTGAGTCGCCTCCAAGGTACCACAGCGCCTTTGGCATCGTAGCTTGCAACAGGTCGACAGTCGTCCTCTCGCACTGTCGAATCAGCGACGTCATCTACTCCGCCCTCCTCCTCCTCGGCTCCTCCTCCTCCCTCGTCCAAGACTCCGAGGTCCTCCGCTGCCAGCTCGGAGTCACGCAGGCAGATTCCTCCGTCCTCCTCCTCAACCGCACAGGCTTCCACAACCACGGTGGTAGCTTCCTCGTCTACATCCCCCGCTGGGAGGAGAGGAGGGAGGACAGCGAGCTAGCGGCGGTGATCGAGGTGACGAACTGCCGGGACAGCGGGGAGAGCAGGGAGCCCTGGAAGTCAGAGACCCGCCCTCCCCTCCTCGTCGCCCGCAACAACTCGTTTGACTGCAGGACCATGCACGAGCTCGAGGAGGAGAGGATTGCGGAGGAGGTGAAGGCAGCTGAGGGAGAAGGAGTTTCAAGCCTCAGGCAAGCGCAAGGATGGAGGAAGCTTGAATCTCGCTGGGACGAGGATGGGAATCGATACATTCACCTGAGTATCTCGGACGAGGAGGACGAGGAGGAGGAGGAGGAGGAGGAGGAGGAGGAGGAGGAGGAGGAGGACGATGCTGAGAGATCGGAAGCAAGGCGATTGCTGACCAGGGCTGACTCGGGGAAAGTGCTGAGCTCGCGATCGGGGATGAGCAGTAGCGTGCAAGATGGTGAGGGGCAGGAGGAGGAGAGTTCAATACGGCATGAGAGGGCCCGAGAAACATGGGAGGATGGGGAAGAGGTGGAAATGGCTGCAGGAAGATGGAAAGGAGAGTAGTTTGAAGAATACGGTGTAGGATAGCATGATGGTATGTACTGAAACTTTTCTAACTTTGTTTTCCTCGTTTCTCCTCCTCCCCCCTCCCTCTCCTCCCCTTCCTCTCCTCCTTCCCACTCCCTCTCCTCCTCCCCCCTCCCTCTCCTCCCCTTCCTCTCCTCAGTCCCTTCCCTCCACTGACCTCGTTACTATACACTCTCCTCCTCCTCCAACCCCCCCCTCCCCTCCCGGCCGCCCCGCTTCGTCTCTCCCGCTCCGCATGCCCTCGTCGTCGAAGCCGCTTCCTCCGTCACTCCGATGCTGAGGGTTCGCGGGGTCTGCGAGCTGCGAGCACAAAATTCCTCGGGGAGATGAGAGGATCAAAGATGGGGACGAGGGCAGCAGAGACTCCTGAGATGGACGTCAGCGAGGAGGGAGGACGAGGACGAGTTGAGGAAAACGAGGACGAGGACGAGTTGACGAGTTGACGAGTTGACGAGGACGAGGACGAGGACGAGGACGAGGACGAGTGGACGAGGACGGAGGAGGAGGAGGAGAGGGGGGGGAGGAGAGAAAGGCGGGGATGAGGAGGACAAGGTTGACGAGGAATGAATGAGGTGAGGGAGGAGCAGGCGAGGGGCAAAGGGAAGGAAGATCGGGAGGACGGTAGGCAGGGGAAGAAAGGGAGAGGAGGAGAGGAGGAGAGGAGGAGAGGAGGAGAAGAAAGTGAGATGCGGGTGCGGGGATGGATACCTGGGGCCTCTCTAAGAAACAGGAGGCGGTCGAGAAGGAGGATAGACTCGATGACTGGGGCGAGGGAGAGGCGGAGGGCCTGCAAGCCAGTTAAGGAGGTGGAGCAGGAGCAGGAGCAGCAGCAGCAGCAGCAGCAGCAGCAGCAGCAGGAGAAGGTAGTGGTAGTGGTGGTGATGGAGGAGGGAGAGGGGAGGCGGGGCAGGAGGAGGAGGAGGAGGATTACGTAGAAGATCGCAGGGCGGTACCATCGACGCAGCTCCTCCTCCATCTCTCCATCCAGGTCCCTGTCCTCCAGTCGCCTGATGAGTTCGTCCAGCCAGTCCTCCTCCTGCGCACTGCCAGCACCAGGAGCATGCAGCGAGAGGTTCTCCCCAGAGCCCTCCTCGTCTCCTCCTCCTCGTCCTCTCTTCAACCCCCCAACTCGAGTTGAGGCTCTACGGAGCACAGCTAAGGCATACTGCTTGAAACTCCCGTGCTTGGCCGCCTGTTCTTCACTCTCACGATCTCCTCCTCCTGCCCCCCCTCCTCTTCCCCTCCTCTTTCCTTTCTCTATCCCGCTCCTGAACTTCTTTCCATTCACTCCTGTCCTCTTCTTATCTGTGTCCCGCTCCCTCGCTG